AAAATTTTACCCAACGGTAGGTCCTGCTCGGCTTATGTCATGAAAGATGAGTTAAGCAATACATAGCCCACACTTGCCAAAAGGGTGGAGTCGGGCCTCATAAATGCTCCCCTGCCTCCCAATATGGTTAACGGAGTGGTGCACCAACAAGTACAGTAACAACAGTAGGCTTGACTTTGCAGTTAGGACCAGTATGGACTATGTTCTCCCCACCCCTCCAACAGAACAAAAAAAGACCACATATAGGGCAGAAATACAAAATCAGTTAGTAATATCAATATGTTTATTTCACAAGATAATTTCTGGAAATGGAATGGCACATAGCGAGAATCTCTTGACCCAAGACTATCATATCCTGAGCGCATTGTAGAAAATTTCCTGTAGAAAAGCTCGTGACTTGGACTTGAAACGGTACTCATCTAGAAGCTCGAGAACATCTGCGTAGAGACATGGCCATTCAAACAGCCACGGATATGAAGCTCGGAGCCTGGAACAGTATTTTTCAGATTTACACACCACGAAATGGTGTCGCCTAAAAATTCACGTTGCGGCGAGTTGCATTTGGGCGGCTTCGCGTGCGCGGCATTCACTCCAAGGCATAATCGATCCGGCACAGAGGCACTGCTACAGCTCTGTTTGCGAATGCCGAGGCGTAGGGGAGGGGTTTGCGCAGCGCCAGCCTCCTGCATTCAACCAACAGCTGTCGTTCACCCGGTCCAGCATCTGGTGGAGAACAGGGTGGCGCTACGCCTGGCGCCACGCCAAACCTGGCTCCCCCCCCCCCCCGATACGCCCCAGCACCCGCAGAGCAATACTCGCCGCAACAAGGGATTTCTCAGCCGACACACGAGTGAGAAATGACTAAACGTCTTTCTTGAGCCCTAGAAATACTCGTTTCCCTTCTTGGGATGCGCCGTGCTTCTACCAAAATACTGGAAAATGCTATGGAGGCAACTGACATGAGTAGCTTCTTCTCCGGTGTTGACTGCGCAATCTCCAGCATATCTACCTGATTGAGAACTTCTTGCCGCAAAAGCGGAATGTCTTCTTGTTGAGGCAGTACAAAATCATCTAAAGTTGATGATCGCATAAATACTCCGCGAAAGAAAGGGAGCCTAATCTTAGCGTTGCGCGTATTTGTGCAATAGGTCGTAAGTTATGAGCTGCGCAATTCTGCCACAATTCTCTTCAGATTCGGTTCTTTGTGTTGAACAATAATCAGTTCTAAAAGATGACAAGAAGAAAGAAAAGAAAGCAAGGAGAATGATTTAGAAGGTGTGTGAAGCAGGAAGAAGAGGATTTTTGTCTAAACCTATGGGTGAGGTGTTCCGGAGCGAGCGGACCAGTCCCAGCGATGACAACCGCGGAGGGGACATTTTAAGGACCCCTGGTGTAAGATTAGATTTACCTTAGCGGGGGGGGGACAAACACTTTAGCCTGTGCTGAAGGAGCAAGGAAGTGAGGGAACCGATGTCAAGGACAGTAACAGTTCCTATAAAGTCATTTCTAGTTTTCCCAGGTGGTCCCTTGAGTGTCCCTCCCAGATTAGTACAGCTCCGTTTTCTTTATGCAATAGAGCGTTCCAGGAGTATGAAACTGGCGAATATTATTTTTTTTCTCAAAACATTTTCATTGAGCATTTCTGCCGGGCTTCAAAAAACCTGGGAGCTCTGCATCAAGATGTCCCCCCTACTGGATCAGCGCCAAAACAAGTGCTCTGGGAAATTTACATACCTTTGACTTCCGAACTACAGTAAAAGCAACGATATGTGGAATGTGCAATACGTGCGTCACTTCGTTGACTACGGCTATGACCGCTTCGAGCACCACGATCGTCCAGCTTAAGAATTTCAGTCATCGGAAGACTTTGATTAAGACCCTGCTTTCATAACGCTGTTACGGTCTTGGATAGGAGGGAATTTTTTGTTATTTGTGCTAGTTCATTTATCTAACGAGATTGTTTCTATTTGGTTGAGTAAGGCCTGTAAGTAACTCTATGTGGCGCTATGCGAATGGCTAGCAATTTAAAGTTGAAAGCGCATTTTACATCGTGAATTACAAGGTTTGTTCGGCGAAGATCAGTATTGTGTATAGCTTGGTTTGAAGGTATCAGTGCGCAAGTCGAACTGCGCTCGGTCCTCCCCCCGACAATTGGATTGATGAACTTCTTACCTTGCACGTTGCGGTAAGGTTGTCGGAGTCAATGGATTAATCGCGAGGTAGCGAGCCTGTCTGCCTGAATTTCGACGGCAAACTATGTTGCTGAATGTAATATAGTTGCAAGGCTTGTATAGGCTTATCATTTCGTCGGCGTATGAGTACTAAAGGCTATGAGCTGCTCAAATTGTGTCGGACGATCGGAGCGCGATTGGAGGCTGAGCGCTACTTTCAAAATGTGAAAAACGGCAAGAACTCCGCTAGAAGCTGACTAATTAGGCCCATGGACACCCCTTAGGCCCATGCCGACCCTCACCGGCTGCTAGCTACTAGCTAGTAGCCACTATGTTATCTTTCTCTATAACATTTCGGACTGCTTTTTCTGCTGCTTTTCTCCGCTAATCAGATACTTAGCACTTTTTTTGTGCCTATTCGTGAATGCCGTTTCCCGCAATTTGCGATCGCGAACTGTGCCTTTAAGCTATTATAGTTAGAAAAACATTCCCCCTAGAAAAACATATAGGAGTGGGTTCCGTCGCCACCAACTGATCAGTGTAGACTGTGCACTGGACTATTGCAGCGACCGGAAATGCAAAACTATTAGAAGCGAGGCAACATCGCGTGCAACCGTGTGCGAGAAATATGCCGATTTTACCCAAAGTCCGAAAGAAAATAAATCTGACGAAACCACAATGGGAGATAAACCATCGATATCGGGAAGGAAAAGCAATGATGTGGGGAATCCTGATTTCGCGAGATAGACAAAAATGTTTCGTTTGAATCGACGTAATCGTTCAAAAGTAATGATCAGCCAACCTTTCGACGAAAAACGTCCCAAGAGCAGTCCTACATCAAAAAGTTATTCCAAAAATTTCAATAAAACAAATGCAACGATCAATGCATCGAACCAATGTCCTAGCAGCCAATTATAAAAAAAACATAGGTAATTCCTCAGCGGTTATAAAAAAAGATTAAGGGTAAGTGTCTGTCAGCGTGTTGTTCTTTCATGAAATTGGGGTTGCGTGGGTCAGGAAATTCGTAGTGCAGCTGCGCACGGAAATAAGTTCACGCGCGCGTAACGACTCTTCTCTGGTGCTGTACGTTTTGCATCCCCTGGTCGCTGGACGCTACTTACAATGTCGCCTTCGCAGCAAGGTTAGGGGGGACCAGGTCACCTTTGCGATGGCTGAAAGATGGGCCACGTGGGAACTGAGGCGGGGTGGGGTGGCGGGGGGGGGTGGAGGGAAACGCTTTCGATGGATGATAATCGTGTGCTGAAGCGGCCATGCATAAGTCAAATACCCTTCAATGGCTGCGAAATCGCCCAGAGCGGCAAAAAAGTGGGAAATAAGAGCAAATATAAGCAGTGATCTCCAAACAAGGACATAATGAGGGATAACTACCCGCTGAACATGGTCACGAACGGCACGACATGCGCCAAAACGGACGGTCCATTCTTCAGAAGTTCTCATGAATCCTGAGAGCACCCTAATGAACATACCTCCTCCGGTGTCATATACACATATCTGGCCGGATTGCCAAAACTGCGATTCACTTCCAGAAATCGTTTGGTCCTAAACGGCACCAATTTCCACCTTTCCCTTGCAGCATTTGCCGCATGGGGATCACGAACCATATCTGCTACCTATAAAAGTTATCGAGATCACATAATTCTGTAAATAATGCCTGCAAAGCTAATAAAGTAGCCTGACGGGACGGCGTCAAACCAGAGCCTGACCAATGATGGCACCGCCCACGTTGGTCGAATGGGCGTATTCAGATCTACGACATCTCCATTGATGCGTCCCTTCCCCCATGACGGTTAATGGAAGGGGCGCATTAATGAGGACGGCACAATGGTTGGCCGTCCACGCCCATACGGTCAGAATGGACTGTGCCTTCATTTTAACGGAAAATAAGACTTATGGTATCCCAAACAAGTAGGTGGGCACGATAGGGGCTATCTCGCTGACAATCTGAACTGCCTCCAATCACTTACCGTTCCTTGCACGATCAGCTGGTCTCGATTCGCTACAAATCCTTGGTTAATGCAGTAAACAATGGTCGACTTTCGTGAACGCGATTCCCATTCCACAATCATCGAATCCAATGTGGTAGCGCGGCGTCCTGTAACGAGTACGTCCTTTATTCTTCTTCAGAACTTTCGGAGAAAATGAGAAAGAAGAACTGTTACCATCCGCCGTCGCCGAGTCCTCGCTAAGAGAGCCTACTCCGCTAGTGAGCACCGAATCGCCAGTAAGGACTCGTTCGCGACGCAATGCAGCATCCTCACTGAAATGAATGAGTGAGTCTATCAGGGTGCAGATGGGCGCAGTTCGGCTCGGTGGGGGCATTTAGCTGGCTCCCCTCGTTCACTGCCGATGCCACCCGTGAAAACCTGTAAACTCCTGCAAAGCCACGCGGTAGGAGCAGCTTTCTAGATTCGCTTGACAAAAGGATGCAGTTCACCGTGGTGTGACATGTGATCTAACAGGAATTAGCAAAAGAAACGAACGAAAGTGCAAAATGCCCCTCCCAAGCCAAACAGCGCTCGCCGATGAAGCACAGAGGTCCACAACTAATTGAGCTTAGAATGTGAAATGTCATTTGCAGTTTATAAAGAATGAACAAGAATAGTAAAGTCTCGTTCGCTGCGGATATGAAGCATGATCCGTGGGCTGGGTTTGACGATGCGGACCGCCCTTCTCACAACCAAACGTATGTCGCTTTCGCCACAATCTCATCAATTGGTGAAAATGGGCTGGCACCGTGCCAACCGTGCCTGTATGACACCCCAGCATCTGCAGCTGACAGAGAACAGTAAGCACAGGACTAACCTAATTCCTGCTACATAGGGTCAAAATCGATTGCTGAAACCAAGGCTCGGACGTACACTCTCCCTGATTGAGGCTTTTTCTTACTCTAAAGGCCACTGGGCTACCACCGTTTGCACTCTGGCTTCGTCGAATCGCCGATCTCCCGAGTAACCAACTGAGGTGACGCCTACACAGGAAACACTATTTGAACAGGGGGCGGTGCGGGCACCGTATGAATGGTCCCCATGAATGCGCATCGCTGTCACTTGCGTGGTGGCATGACGATAACTAATAACACAAAAACTAGTAATTACATAATGATCCCTGCAAATACTGTCAAAAAACAAGCGTGTGACGAGGCGTGACTTGATGGCAAGCAGACTATCCGCTTCCCGCAACTGTAGAGGGCATCAGATGCGCAGCGCTCACAGCCGCATGTGGCAGTACTACCAGTCAACGCGCGGTGAGCCGTCCACACGCCTATCATTTACAATGATCAAGACAGTACAGTTTGGTCGCAGGGAATTTCTCGATTGGAACCAGATTCGCGTTGGGTTAATTTGTCTCCAAGTTTTCTTTCGGCTCATCCGATATAACCTGGTTTACGGGCGCATATCTGTAGCGAGTGATCCCTTTCCGTTATAGCACGTATTATTGTTCAGTGATCACTTCACATTTACAGCACTGATATTACCAGACAGATGACTGAACTTAAGGACATGTCCCGCGATAAAAAGGATGGACGGAAAACGGGGAGGATACAGGTAGGAGGTAAGAGCGTGCTCTCCAGTGACGCCCTCCAGTACGGTAAAGAGAGACGCGCTATTGAGGAAGGTACCACCAACATTAAGGTCTCCGCCCATTCATTCAACAAAATTAGCACAAAATGAAAAAAAACCTGTGGAGCCGCAGAAGGTGATGAACGACGTTCAAATTGATCATTTTCCTTCTTCGATTTCAGAACATCCAAATGATGATTGCTTTCCCATCCAAAGCGAGCCAACGCCTTCTGCCCCTGCAATGTAACCTCAAAAAGTTAGTCTACTAATTACTAATGACGACTAGAAAATCACTGATTGAAGTGGTTCGAAAACCAATAGGGCACCAAAATTCATCTGAAGGCACATTGCATGATCGGGCAGGAATGGGGGGATGAGCATTCAGCCACCGTGCTTTATTCATTGGCCCGCTCACCCTCTTATCGTATTAAAAGGGGAGGCGTCATTCAAGAGTGCACCCGTCTCAGGATACTCGTCAACCACGGAGACTCCCTTCCCCTCCCTTTTCCCGCCATTATTCCGTCTTTTCCTTCGTTCCTTCTCTCTTCCCTCTTTCTTTTACATCTACAACTGCGGGGCCGGTAGATGCAATGAGAAAATATTTCTGGACCCTCGCAGTGAGACCATGTCCGGTTGACAAGAGCCCTGTAACCGAGCGCACCACGGGTGACTCCGCCCCCTTCTCTGCTAACTAGCTGTCGTGTAGCCTGTCATGTAACTTTTGAAAAAAATCAAAAGTCGAGGACCCGTAATATTGGTTATTCAGGTGCCTCATTACCCGTCACGTCTGAAGGGATTTTCTCAAAACAGAGACTCCTCTGTGTAATCATCTCGCGGGAACTGGGCGTGTGTACAACCAACGTCGCGCAGTCGAAATCCCATAGTAATGCTACACACCAATAGCACTTTCATGGAGTCCATCGCGAATGTTTGCGGCCGCCGTGCTTTTTTCTTA